ATCATATTTGAACAATTCGGATTTTTGAAGAACAATTTGGGTCGTGGAGTATTCCTGGTAAGTTTTAATCTCATTAATACACAATGGAGTTTCACCCGCCTTACGTGAAGTGGCGTGATTTCCACGAGATGCAGTAGTCGTGAAATATGTTTTTGTTCTCACGAGTTAAACTACAGTAAATTGATAGAGTAATTTTCGTCATGTGTCAACAGCATTATCATCAACCTACGCGCTTGTCCCCGGCTGGTCACCACAGTTTTCCCCCTCAGATTTTTATGGGAATGTTGTGGATTTCTTCATGGACGTTTTGGTTGGGATTCGTAGGCCTGTAAGCTAACAGGAATCCGCTTCGCTCCGCTGTTATTATTTTTCGCTAGGTATCTCTGCTGTGTCGGAGTCGGGTACATTGTCATTCACTTCTTACACCATGCTAGCGAGGAGAGTTCGCAGCATGTGACCTTCGCCATGGAGGACTCCCCAACTGATAGAGTTTGATAACGACATTCAACAACAACAGCAGTTCGCAGCGAAATTCTCGCTCGGTTCAACTTAGCACAATTGCGCTTCCTGATCACACATTTTGGCTTTTGAGTTGAACGCTAAATGAAGGTATCACAACAGTAGGTGTATTGAGCAGTATTGGAATATATGTTCGCTTTCCTCAACTGAGCTCAAGGGTTTTCTTACTAGTCACAGGAGTTTATTTACGATTTATGTGCAGAAACTAATCGAGAATTCCCATGTTGCCTACCACACATGAAGTTGACCAGCACTGCTATTGACCAGCAGTTTGTTTGTGAATTTTCTATGCATTGTTCTTATTCGCTGTCGGTGGTTCTCCTTCTCACTTGGTGTTGTCAAGACGCTTTGGCAGAATGTGTACGCAAAGTTTCACGGAATTGCCAAATTCTATTTTTTTGCTTTCCCTCAGACTCCTTCAGTTCGGCCCTCACAACAGTGTAGTGGTAACGGCCAGTGCGTGCGAGTTTCAGGCAAGTCGATCCCTTCTTTTTGGGAGATCCAGTGAGTTCATCGCGCAGTGCCCGCCGAGACCTCTGAACAACGTGATATTTCGGAGCCATCATCATCCTCATTCACTTGCCGATGCTACGATGGTTTTTACGGTATCAATTGCGAACACCTGAATGAGCAAGCAGCCAAACTCGCAGGGGAGAGCGACGGGTGAGTGAATGACGATGAATGAAGTCCTTTCTGTTGAGGATGGACATCAGGTATAGAGTCGTGCGTCGGACAACTATCATTCACCATCGATCTCCTTATGTAAGTTATGCTCATCCATTGGCCATAGCGCAACGAATAAATTAGAAAAGTGACCGTAGTTTTGGGTACATTTCATGGCGATCATGAGCATCCGAAACGGTATGTAGGCGCGATCGCCATGGCCATGTTACTCACTCAAGTTGATCATTGAAGTCGAGGTTCTTTAGGCGCAACCTGGATACGTGCCCGGGGTAGTGCCCATGCCGATGGTCATTCCAGCTCCCGTAGCCCCAGCACCAGTCATAGTGATACTCGGCAACTTTTCGTCGGTGGGAAATTGTTGGTCGTTTGCAGATTGATGATCCCTACCATTCGGGCACGGTGGTTTACACTCACAGTGGCATCTCCTGGGTTCCCATTTTAATAACGTCCTTCATCGCGGTGAGTTATTCTCCCCTATCAGGATGCTATAGATGAGCACTCTCCTGTGCAGATAGCCGTCGTTATTGCCATCATTGTCTGCTGTTGTGCGGCTAACAATTCACAGGTATTGTGGAATGGTCCGATACGGCGTGAGATACTGATGCCTTCTTAGACTACGACCAGCGAGACTGTGGTGTATTCGAACGCCGATGGTTACCAACGTCCTTTACTGGCGGACGAAGGAACTACTGTTACCGTAACTTGCCGTTTTGAGCTCCCTCACGTTACTGTTTGTGGTGTCAGGTGATCGAGGAAACTTATGATGACGGTAAGGGGCCTCAGACGCAACAGCAACAGTCTAACGTGGTGAGCTCTCGGTCACGACCTGAACGAGCATTGAGCCTCTCGTCCTGCTTAGGCCTATCCGACGCAAGTGACTGCACCGAGTGGGCAAGTCATTTACCAACGACCTGCAGATTCTACCGCTCATCAACCGACTCAATATGTGGGGAATCAAAGTGGCGCGCCTCCAATGTATCAGAATGGACTACATCCACAGAATCAGGTGGAAAGGAGTTGCGGTCAAAACTTGCTAGAGCTCGATTTTGTGTTGTCCAGGGTGCTTCGATGACTCAGCAAGCTCCTGCATATCCCCAGCCGACGGCCCCGCCTGCTTACAATCCGGAATTGGCTCGACAGTGAGCGGAAATCGATACCATTACTTTCGAAATAGCGTGATATTTGCCGTTTCATTCACCGTTTCAATGAACTCTGTGGGATTGCGTTCGACTGGAACACCTCCAACGAGAAAGATTAACAATGCATAGCATGAAGGCAATGGCTGTAACTTGATCGTGACAAATTGTCTTTCGTCGAACTCGGGGTCGAGCGGCGGTCGGAGGACCCATAAATCGACTAGTTGGTGAGATGACTGCAGTAGTCAAACTACTTCCTCCTAGGGTTTGATTCCTCTTTCCGTTGAGCTCACTGGACTTGGGAGCTTGACTGAGAGGTGGCGTCGTAATGTATAGTTCACATTGCACCTCGAGGGATGCGGTATTTGATGTGAGGCAATTCTGGCAACTGAGTTCAGTGGGATTGACCTCATGCGCAGATCCGATATACAGCGTAACTGTACTACTGTTTGTCATCGAATAAGTCACAACGGACACAAAACTATTGCATAGTTACTATCATCATCGTCGTAGAAGCAAACGCAACATAAGATTCTTATGTTGCGTTTGCTTATGTTTTCTTATGTTTTCTTATGATTATTCTTATGATAAGAATAATACGCATCATGTCGAATAAGGATTGATAGCTGGTGCTAGGTTGCCGATCACGAGCAAGCAGGCCCAATAGTAGGGAATGTGGCTTTTATGATAGACGCCGATAGCCCCAGGCTGATTTCGGCTCCAATGGCCAGACACAGGAGAGCCATGGTCAAAGGCACAAGCTTGTTTTCGAAACTCGCTACTGGCGAGTCGCCAGAAACCACTACTCAACGTACTCTGTCTGCACGCACACAGGGAACTCAACAATTGGCGATATTCCATTATTATATCTAGGATGTGCGCGTCCATTGCAATCTCCGGTGCGCGGGGAGTCCCAGAACTCTATACCTTTCAAATGACTAGTGAGTGGAATCGCAAACCTCGCGTGCACGAACGAGGTTGAAATCCATAGTGCAAATGTACGAGCACTAAATTCCCTCCATTCCAGAGACCACAGACATCCCGAGCATGTTCTCCATCTCAGAACTTCCCTCACAAACTTGAATAACAACTCAAATGTCCCGATGGTCAAAAACTCTAACAAGTTCATCTCATACGTGCAACTGTGGCGTCGAGCTCACTCTTCTTTTCTACTATCATGCTACGTAATCGAGTTACACTATCATAAGCATTTGCCGAATACGATGTGCTCTACAGCAATGCTCCGAACTGGCTCCCTTTAAGCCTTGGTACGCTTCACTCGACAGTATCTTCAACGAGTCTTCCAACGGTGTCTACGATACGACTACCGATAATTCACTTACAAGTTAGTATTTCCCTTGGTGACGAAATCGTACAACACTCGTGTCCAGGAGTCATAGCTCGGCATGTCGTACCTGTTCAGTTCAGCTCACGAACAAACATCTGCTTGTTACTGCACAGTGTTGGAATAATGTTCATTTTCCTCGACTGAGTTCAGGAGTTTGCTCACGAACAATGCAAACTTACACACGAATTCGAGTAGGAGCGTAAGGAAATTAATAAGAATGCTGCGAAATTGCCTCTAAATTTCCATTTTGCCATCAACACATGTGGTTGACCATGTGCATATTTCCCCCTACACTGATACTGCAGATCCAATGACAGTCGCTTACCATTCAGGTGCCAACGCTTTGACCTTCGGGAGATTACGACCAGCCACAGTAGGGAAATCATGATGTTCATTGTGATACCTGAGACAGTGGAATGCCCTGTACGGCTATTCCGAGAGTGCAACCTACCCAACGTTATACGCAAGGAGATTCAGAGGACCGTAGTAACTGAAAGTCTCTTGGCCGTAGACAGCCTCCAAATGCTCGGCGATGAAGTGACCCGACATGGGATGGAGACCCAAGCCGAAGAAGCTTCCCCAGAGCAGGTAGAAGAATGACTTCAAGCCCAGGAACTTGAGCACCACTATATCGAATGTAAGCTGCACCAGCCAATTGATGGCTTCGTAGTTGACCATAGGCAAGGGACGAATAACCATAGGACGCAGGCCATAGAACACCGGTTGGAAGAGTGCCCAAGTAAAGCGGCCCGGAACCGAACGGAAGAACTTAGCCTCCGCATGAGTCGGGATATCTACATCGATCTTGTCAACGCCCTGAGAACATCCGGGTTTCATATGATGATCACTACTTGAGAATAAGAGTCGGGACACTCCAACATCTCTCACGAGTAGACTCAAATTACGCGAAAAACACGGCATATCACGCGTGCAACAAGCTGGTGACAATAAATGACAAAATGAGAGTTCTTTCTATAACAACGCTCCGCTCCACTTGTATAGATAAAGTTGCATGCACGTATCACCTGTGACGAGTGATGTTCGAGATGGTATCTTCGGAAAGTAGCTGCAGAGGCGACACCAGTCGGCAGATTACAGAAGATGCTGAACGGAAAGAGGCAGCTACGGGAAATAGCTCACGAGCAATATTTTCTGATGATATAGTTCCCTCCTTACGAGAAAACCTTGTTCAACATCTTCGACTTGAAGAAGAGATCATGAGATAGCTCATGCATCGCAAGTACTAAGGAGTGATTCATCGTCCCGGACACAATCTGAGCATGATAGTCTTGCCAAATGTTCAGCGCACACTACTCGCAGTCGTACGAGCTACTACACGCTAAACTTACATATGTCACTATCAAAAGGCTCGGCCAGGACCAATCCCTGACTATGTAGCACGTGAATAGCTGGACGAGAACTGTTGCCGTACAAAAGACTGCTGCCAGTGGATCGGGACCTTGCACTTTCAGTATTTCCGGATGCCTAAGGGGTTGCACCAAGCACTCGGGTCATCACCAGATATCATCCATGCTCACGCCTTCAGAATCTTCTTCCTCCTTATCTTGTGTAGCTCCGGACTCTGAGACCAATGAAAATCCGAGGGTGCGCATTTGCGCTGTATATCGTCAGCATGGGCCGAAACACCTCTGACAGGTTCTGAAAAGCAAGAACAAGTATAGTATACTTAGTATACCACGAAGCGACGTGTGAATAATGCTCACTGCATTCTGACTCTTCCAGCACGTCATAGTGTACCAACCGATTCATCGCCTTCGTCGGGGTTCTGTCGCCGTCGTCAGTTATCCCATTCACCTCCGACGGCGTACTAACGAGCCCATCGGCAGTCATGGATTCCTCCTTCACTGAGTGGGTCATAGAATTATTATTCAATTGGAAGCACCTCGAGAGACTGCGGAAATGCAAGTGACTGAGCTGGACTGATTGTATCTTCTCATGAGGCCTCACATACTTCGCGGCTAGTTTCACACTCACGCTAATTTCTATTGGTGGGGCAGCTATGCCACCCCAAGATATGCCTCGAAACAACCGATTCCTCTGAGCGGGGCAGCTATGCCACCCCAATAAATGCCTTAAAATAACCAATTCCTCTGAGCGGGGCAGCTATGCTACCCCAAGATATGCTTTAATATAACCAATTCCTCTGAGCGGGGCAGCTATGCCACCCCAAGATATGCTTTAATATAACCAATTCCTCTGAGCGGGGCAGCTATGCCACCCCAAGATATGCTTTAATATAACCAATTCCTCTGAGCGGGGCAGCTATGCCACCCCAAGATATGCTTTAATATAACCAATTCCTCTGAGCGGGGCAGCTATGCCACTCCAAGATATGCTTTAATATAACCAATTCCTCTGAGCGGGGCAGCTATGCCACTCCAAGATATGCTTTAATATGACCAATTCCTCTGAGCGGG